TGTTTATATTTTGGATACTATCAGAAATTGAGGATATTTTCTGTAACAGGAGAAAAATCTTAGCAGGAGCCTGAGCTGCATGCATGCTGTTGAGAGGTGTGGCTTTGTTTTCAGATATGCTGTCCCATATACACACTGTGGCTGCAAGTGTGTTGGGAAGAGGGGTGGGGCTTGGGGGTCCTATTCAGAAAGGGCCAGAGAGGTCAGTCCTTCTGTTCCCTGTGAACAAAGGAAAGAGTGGCTGGTTTCCTGTCTGGAGGAGGGGTACTCATCGCTCCTTTTCATGAACCTGTGGTTCCTTCAGGCCTCGTTCCAATTTCTGAAGTACAGATTTCATTTAAAATTTTCTTTGCAGTGTGTTCAGTCACGCACTTGGGTCTGACTCTTTGCAACTCCATGGCCTACAGCATACCAGGCCTCACTGTCACTCACCATCTCTCTAAATTTGTCCAAGTTCAAATCCATTGCATCAGCGATGCCATCCAGTCATCTCATCCTCTGAAGCCCTCATCTCCTTTTGCTTTCAAACTTTCCCAGCATCAGGGACTTTTCCAAAGAGTTGGCTGTTTGCATCAGATGACCAAACTACTGGAGCTTCATCATCAGTCCTTCCAATGAGTATTCAGAGTTGATTTCCCTTATTATTGACTGGTTTGATCTCCTTGCTGTCCAAGGGACTTTCAGGAGTCTTCTCTAGCACCACAGTTTGAAGGCATCAGTTCTTTGGCATTCTGCTTCTTTATGGTCCAGCTTTCACAACCGCTCATGACCACTGTGATGAGCATAGCCTTGACTATATGGACATTGTTGGCAGAGCAATGTCTCTGCTTTTCAGCACACCGTCTAGGTTTGTCATAGCTTTCCTGCGAAGAAGAAATCGTCTTCTAATTTCATGGCTGCAATCATCATCTGCAGTGGTATTAGAGCCCAAGATGAGAAAATCTGTCACAACTTCCACCTTTTCCCCTTCTATTTGGCATGAAGTAATGGTACACAATTGCACTCATCTCACAAGCTAGTAAAGTAATGCTCAAAATTCTCCAAGCCAGTCTTCAGCAATATGTGAACCGTGAACTTCCAGATGTTCAAGCTGGTTTTAGAAAAGGCAGAGGAACCAGAGATCAAATTGCCAACATCTGCTGGATCATCAAAAAAGCAAGAGAGTTCCAGAAAAACATCTATTTCTTCTTCATTGACTATGCTAAAGCCTTTGACTGTGTGGATCACAATTAACTGTGGAAAATTCTGAAAGAGATGGGAATACCATACCACCTGACCTGCCTCTTGAGAAACCTATATGCAGGTCAGGAAGCAACAGTTAGAACCGGACATGGAACAACAGACTGGTTCCAAATAGGAAAAGGAGTATGTCAAGGCTGTATATTGTCACCCTGCTTATTTAACTTATATGAAGAGTACATCATGAGAAATGCTGGGCTGGAAGAAGCATAAGCTGGAATCAAGATTGCTGGGAGAAATATAAATAACCTCAGATATGCAGATGATACCACCCTTATGGCAGAAAGTGAAGAGGAACTAAAAAGCCTCTTGATGAAAGTGAAAGAGGAGAGTGAAAAAGTTGGCTTAAAGCTCAACATTCAGAGAACTAAGATCATGGCATCTGGTCCCATCAATTCATGAGAAATATGGGGAGGCAGTGGAAACAGTGTCAGACTTTATTTCTGGGGGCTCCAAAATTACTACAGATGGTGATTGCAGCCATGAAATTAAAAGACGCTTACTCCTTGAAAGGAAAGTTATGACCAACATAGATAGCATATTAAAAAGCAGAGATATTACTTTTCCAACAAAGGTCCGTCTAGTCAAGGCTATGATTTTTCCAGTGGTCATGTATGGATGTGAGAGTTGGGCTGTGAAGAAAGCTGAGCACCAAAGAATTGATGCTTTTGAACTGTGGTGTTGAAGAAGACTCCTTAGAGTCCCTTGGACTGCAAGGAGGTCCAACAAGTCTATCCTAAAGGAGATCAGTCGTGGGTGTTCATTGGAAGGACTGATGCTGAAGCTGAAACTCCAATACTTTGGCCACCTCATGTGATAATTGACTCACTGGAAAAGACCCTGATGCTGGGAGGGATTGGGGGCAGGAGGAGAAGGGGATGACAGAGGATGGGATGGCTGTATGGCATCACTGACTCGATGGACATGAGTTTGAGTAAGCTCTGGGAGTTGGTGATGGACAGGGAGGCCTGTCGTGTTGCAATTCATGGGGTCGCAAAGAGTCAGACACGACTGAGCAACTGAACTGACTATCTGAATTGGGCCGGATGACATGATTTTAGGGTTTTTTTTTAATATTTAGTTTTAAGCTGACTTTTCACTTTCTTGTTTCACTCTCATCAAGAGGCTCTTCAGTTCTTTGCTTTCTGCCAATAGAGTTGTATCATCATGCATATCTGAGATTGCTGATGTTTCTCCCACCTATCTTGATTCCAGCTAGTAACTCATCCAGCCTGGCATTTCTCATGGTGTGCTCAGCATATAGATTAAACAAACAGGGAACAGCTGATTGCCCTGTTGTACACCTTTCTCAATCTTGAACCAATAAGTTCTTCCATACAGGGTCCTAACTGTTGCTTCTTGACCACATACAGGCTTCTCAGAAGACAGGTAAGATGGTCTGGTATGTTCACCTCTTCAAGTACTTTGCACAGTTTGTTATGATCCACACAGTCAAAGGCTTTAGCAAAGGCGATGAAACAGAGATAGACATCTTTCTGGAATTTCCTTGCTTTCTCTACAATCCAGCAAGAGTTGGCAATATGATCTCTGGTTCCTCTTCCTTTTCTAAACCCAGCTTGGACATCTGGAAGTTCTTGGTTCACACAATGCTAAAGACTGGCATGCAAAATTTTAACCAAGATCTTACTAGCATGGGAGATGAGTGCAACTGTCCAACAGTTAGCAAATTGTTTAGTCCTACTCTTCTTGGGAATTGGGATGAGGATTGACTTTTTCCAGTTCTGTGGCTATTGCTCAGTCGTCCGGATTTGCTAACATGTGAATGCAGCACCTTGATGTTATCATCCTTTAGGGTTTTGAATAGCTCTACTGGAATTCTTTGCAGTAGTGTGTTAATAAAATCAACTAAATACACAGAGCCCAATGGTCAAAAATTTACAAGCCAAAAGTGTAAGTTCTGGGGTCAGATGGCCTTTTACATGAGTGGGTTGTAGCAACAGTGCTCCTGATCTCGGATGGAGAGCAGTGAGCGCTCCTGAAAGGATATTTTAGTTTTCTGCACAGAGATGGAACCCAGGTAGCCTGGATGAAACCCCAGGAATCCTAGTCAACACATCACCAGGGGCTAGAGGCTAGAGGCAAAGTGACTCTGGCTCTTTCCCTGATTAAAGCAAGAATGTTGCAAAGAGGCAAAAACTGTAAATAAGTACAAAGTTTATTATTAGAGACACAGCACACTGTATGGCAGAGCACATAGAAAAACAGGTTGTTTATTGAAGACAGAAGCAAGGCGGAAACACACCTCCAGAGAGAAAGGGTAGGGGCATCCTCTCTAATGAGGAGTGCAGTAAGTAAGAGCTAAGCAGAGACACACACCTGTGGTGGAGTGCAGATGTCCTGAATGAGGGGGAGAGCAATAAAGGAGCGACATAAATGATTTATATAGCACAGTCCTTCCAGATCATTGTTTACCTTTGGCCAATTATCTTATTAATTTCTTCAAAACTGACTGGTCCATGGATCCTCAAAAGCTGCATATTAAACTGTTTTCTAAGATAGATTCCATCATATAGGCCTATAGGTGCATGTCTACTTATTAAAGAGTGGGGTCACCTCCCTTTTCCATCCCCAAGAAGCCTTCCTGCGAATGTGTAGACAGGGAAGTCTTTGCCAAATTCAGTAGTGGGCACTTATCTCTTTGCTTTAGCAGAGCTCAGTTTTTGCCACTGGCTTTGTCTTTGAAGTGCCAGGGTAAGACCAAAGCCTGAAATTTACTCAGCTTGACAAACACCAGTGATCCAGCCCAGAGGCACACTGTCTCCAACCTTACTAGCTATGCAAGTTCCCTTCCTCTCTGTGTCTTGGATTCCATTTCTGTAAAATGAGAAGTTTTGCCTAGATAATCTCTGAGGTACAGTGGAGATGAACATCCCTTGAACTTCAAGGCAGGAAGAGGTTGGGGGATGAATCTGAACATGGCTGGACACCCTCTCTGCCTGAAACTTCAGAAAGGATTAGGACTGTGCAGATGGTACATTCTCTGATGAGCCACCCACAGTCACACTGTCATGGGAAGAAAGAGATCCTGGGCGGTCAAGGTTAAGGATGAGGGGATTCTACTGGGTGTAAGGCCACTCAACATGGCCAGAAAAGTTGGTGCTTCCCCGCCAGCAAGAGGCAGCCCCAATGACCTGCAAGCCCCAGGGCTGCAGCTTGCCTTGATGAGAGGAATCTGTGCTTTGCGGAGTGGTTCAAACAGGGTTCTACCTGGGGGAGGCATCACTAGAAGGGATTTGAAACCATGGAACAGATTGAGGCCAAGCCTAGAGTGAGTGCAAGGAGAGAGTGTCCAGGAGAGGAGGAGAGATGAGTGAAAAAGACTGAAGGATAAGAAGATTGAAGGCAGGAGAGGAAAGGGAAGGAGGGGGAATTGACCAGTGGGGTCAATTGTAGTCCATATTTGGCAGAAGTGGAGGGTTAGACACCTGTCTTGTTGAGGAGGAGACTCTGGATTTTGCACAAGGGCATCTTGGAGACCTCCTTTTGGCCCTTGCCCCTGAGTCAGCCGGCTGCCCATCCCCCCCAACCCCCCACCCCCCCGTTTTTGTGACAAATCTTCCAGATGTGAAGCCAGTTGCAAACTTTATTCTGAGGGAGGAGTTCCATAGGAGGCCTGCCTTGTGGCCTCATCCTGTGGCTTAGTGGGGAAGCCGTGAGCAGCAGATGGCCATCTTTTCATTGGGATGCTGGCAGCTCACAGCTCTGGGCACTGCCCCCTTCCTCCCTGGGGTTGAGGGGGTTCAAAACTCGCAGATCACGAGGAGTTCCGTACTGCAGGGTATGTCATTCCACTTGCCCTCACTATAGATCTGCACACAGTTCTCTGGTTGTCCAGCATTATTATTGTTGGGCTCCCCATTGGCCCAGTTGGAATAGACCAGTGACTCCCCAGTGGAGTAGGTGAACCTGCCCTCGGTGGAGATGTCATTCATGCCCAGGAAAGCATCATGATTCTTGGCTCTGACCAGCTGAGCCACGGCCTCGTTCTCGGCTGCAGAGCGCGGCGAGGCCAGCTGTCCCTTAGCCTCTCTGCAGACCTGCCGGGCATCCGAATATGATTTTACAGCACCTGCCGTCTTGAAGATCTTCTCCCCGACAGCTAGGCCATCAGGGAAGAGCACCACTAGGGGAAATGAGGAGAGTCAGGTTGGAGATGTGGCAGCACGTAGACCTTGTGATCTAACTGGAGTCCCCAGCTCCCATGAGGGTATCAGGGCACCAGATAGAACAAAAGCGAGGCACTTAGTTCCCGATAATCCATCATGCAAGAGGTGAGGATCCTGGGACTCAGGTGCTTATTCAAGAGGCCCGAAGTCACCCAACTGTCAAATGTAGATGAGGATCAGACCTTGTTGGATGTGACACTAAAGCGCCCACGTACACTTTCTGCTCCATCCGGTGATGTTCACCAGAATCCGGGACTTTAGTTACTGTGTAAACAGGAAGGACTGTGGCAGGGAAATGACACTTAGAGCCCGGGGCAGCTCCTGAGAATGGAGAAAACTCCACACAGGCAGCTGACTCTCACCCATGCCAGATGACCGGGTGTGTGGAGCTGTCTGAGCACTTCTGTGCTGTGTGAAGGGGTGAGGAGAAAGGGAGGACAGGGGTGAATCTGAGAGCAGCCAAGTGCTGATCTCTGCACCAGCAGAGAGAGTGGTGGCTTCCGTATGCTTACAGGTGATGTTACAGTCAGTCAGCCTCCCTGGACCACTGGGCAGTGGATGACGGCATCTGAGAGCTCTGTGTGGGGGCAGGAGGGCAGGGTGGGATCAGCTTTGGAGAGAGCCCTGTCTGGGCCTCAGAAAGTCGTATGTTCAGCTCCACACTGGCAATGACAGCCCAGGTGACAAGGGAAAGTCACTTCTCTTTTCAGAATCTAACACCGTATTTCTAAGGAAAAGGTACACTGCACAACAGCATCCCCTATGTGACGTGTTAAGTATCTCTCTTGATTCCATCCGATCCATACCCCTCTGACTTCCAAGGTCGTGCATGGAAATGTTCAGGACTCCTAAGAGGGCTCACTGGACTGGTTCTGAACCCAGGCTGCGCCCTGACCCCACTGCCCTTTCCTTTGATTAGATTCAACAAGCAGTCGAAGTCCAGATTTTCCACATAGTCAGGACGGCACCCTGACAGCCCTGGACAAGGTCAGTGCAAGCTCGTGTGCCATGATTGGTTTACATCCCATGTATCTGGGTGGTATGCGTGTGCATGCATGAATTTATGTGTGTGTCAATCTGAAGGTACATGGGCTGACTCAAGGTCCATCAGGATGGGAGTGCATATGTGTGCATGTGTGCTCATGGATGTAGGTGGTGTGGACTAAGTGATGGTGCTTGGGTACACACAGGTGGCCAGAACATATGCCCAAGTTCTCCTGGTTTGTATCAGTTTGCATGAAGGGTTAGTTTTTTAGTTATGGCTGACTCTTTTTGACCCCATGGACTGAAGCCCACCAGGGTCCTCTGTCCATGAGATTTTCCAGGCAAGGAAACTGGAGTGGTTTGCCATTTCCATTCCTGGGGATCTTCCCGACCCAGAGATCAAACCCAGGTCTCCTGCAATGCAGGCAGATTCTTTACCAGCTCAGCTACCAGGGAATGAGAGAGTAAATAGATATGTAAATATAATTGTGCAAGAAGGAAGACATAAACTGCTGAAAATTCTCATCCCACTACTTCAGTACTTAGTCGGCTTGAGTTCTTACGAGCAAGCCCTCTGTCTCACCCAATCAGGTCCCTATATGCTCTACTCCTTCAGAAAACTCTTCCTATTGTTGGATCAGTGAGGTTTCATAAGTGATGTGGATTCAAAGCTGTCATCAGGGAGAGGAGAGAAGGAGGAGGGGCAGTTGGTGGAGCGTCCCAAAGGCACAGGGCACTCAGGTATGTGCTCCAAGAGGCCTCTGCCTGCTTAGGATCCAGGCTTAGGGAAGAATCTCTGCTTAAACACCACAAGAGGTGCAGGGGGAGTCCAGCACTGGCCAGAGACTGGAGGCAGCCTACTCCTTCCAGACCCGGGGACATCTTTAGGGTAAGATACTTGGTGGCCACACACCAACAAAAGGTCCCCAGCTGCCTGAACCCCACAGGCAGCATCCCACCCCCACTCTCAGGATCATGTCTGGATTCTCTGCTGCCCTGAGTTGTGTGGCTTCTTCTCTGAGCATTTGCACACCTGGCCCAAAGAGGGAAGAAATGCATCCTGGGTTGGATGTCCGTTTGTCTGTCATAGGAACCCACCAGGGTAGGCCAGGGTAAGGTCTGATGAACGGATGACTCAGACCGCATCCTCCTCCTTGTGCCGTGCGTCTACTTGAGCCCCTGGAGCACATGGGGCTCAGCTCTGTCACAGCCCTGTCCTTAGCCCCACTCCTGCCCCAGGTCTAGGTCAGTCCCAGTCATGGTCCCAGCAAGTCCAATTTAGACCCAGCCCAGCAAACTGCAAGCCAAGCCCAGACCCAGTCTGAGACCCATGATCAGGGCCTGGCTCAGGGTCAGGTCCAGGAACTCACCTTTTTTATACTGAGAGAAGCCTTTTTGAAGGCGTCGCAGCTGTCTCTCTAAGACTGCCACCCACTGCCAGAGATCATCGACCTCTGCAGAAGAGAGAGGCCAAGTGAAGACAGATCCAGAACAGCCTGGGGTCACTCAGGCCCCAGCCTCAAGAGAGGGGCAAGATGGGGATGGGGTAAGGAGGTGGAACAGAGGCCGCGGAAGCCCTCTTCTTCTGACCTAGCTGGCCTCTGCTTCCCACAGGATTTCCTGTGTTTCTCTTGTGAACAGTATCCCCTGAACAGGTCCCTGACAGTGAACCAGATATCATTTTAATTCCAAATTCTAGGAATCTGATAGCACTTCCTTTTGCAGTGCAGGGGGTGGTATGGTTGTCGGAGAGGAATAGACATAGGTTGAGTATTTCCCATCCATTGAGTTATTTGATGTTCAAGGTTATCTGATGAACTGGAGAGGGAGGTTAGCTTGTCATAGAGATCAGATAGAAAATCTGCTCAGGGTGTCCTCTAGCAAGTCATAGAGGCTACGACCAGAGTCTACCTCCCCATACACCCTGTCAACTTTTCCTGCTTTGACCCCCACCTGTAACTAAATGGGTTACCTGAGAGGAGAGCTGAGGTGAATAAGGCCTCCTCCCTGCCCCACACCCTAATGGGGCCCCCAAGTCTTCCTTTCCTGCAAGTCCACTCTCACCCTTTGCTCCTCTTTCTCCAAGAGTACTTCTGTCTTCCTTCAGTCCTCGGGAGCCCCTGGCACCTGAAGGCCCCTGTGGACCTATGGCTCCAGCAGGCCCTGGGATAAGAGAAGTAGAAATGGGTGAGCACTGAACATATATTTTAGCATTTTCGTGACCCCCCAACCTCCATACAGGGACTCATACACCCTCCTACATGCAAATGTCCCTCTGTGCCTGCAACCTCTTCTTGCATCCCCTCTGTACACTGACTGTCCCATAACCCGACAACCAGCCTTCCCTGGATACAGACAGTCCCTGCCACTCTCACCACCCTCTCCCTGGAGACAGACAGTTCCCAGAGCCCAACACTGGTTCTCGCCCTGGAATGCCAGCTCTGACCTGATGGCTGGTGGGGGTGGGCACAGGGGAACATGAGCCCAGCCCCACGTCCATTGCTCACCTGCCGCCCCAGCACGTCCAGGGGCTCCAGTCTCCCCGGGGGCACCTCTCTCTCCTTTGAGACCTGCGGGGCCCGGGGAGCCCTGCATGCCTGGGGCACCCGCTTCTCCTGCAGAAGGAACACATTGGAGAAACACGGCTGAGAGTGTGCTCAGCAGGTCCCACTTCCTACCAGTGCAGCTTGTCAAGCACAGCTTCAGGTGAGAGAGCGACCTGGGAGACTGCTCCTGACCGCTTGGTCTCTTCCAGGAACCGTATCGGGAAATTCAGTCAGTGTGGGAAAGTTGAGGGTGAGGCCCAGGCCAGGCCGACCAGGCGCGGAAGTTCCAGGCTTTTCTAGGCACTGTGCACGTACCTTGGTCCCCACCAGGGCTGCCCATGTCACCCCTCCCGTCTCCCTCCCTCACCCACCACACACCACCCTCCTACCTTTGGGCCCAGTCTCTCCTTTGGGGCCTGGTGTGCCTGGAGGTCCCATGCTCCCCTGCCTCCCTGAGGAGCCCTTTCTCCCAGCTGGACCAGGCATGCCTGGAGGCCCTGGGGAAAAAGACCAGCCCAGTTAATGACACTGAATCTCCTTAGAAGTGGGAGTGCATAAAAGGTGGGGCTGTAATAGAACTCAGACAGGCATCCTCTTCCTAGAGATGTTGACCCAACTGCACCTTCCCCAGGAGCTCCAGCCTTCCCTGAAATAACCCTGTGCCACCTTGAAAATGACCTTCTTCCTCTTCCTGGCGTGGAATCTGTGCTCGCTTACTGCCATGTCCTAACGGAGCACACCACCTGCAGACACCTGCATTCCATGCCCAGCTGCTCACCAGGTGGTCCAGTGTCTCCCTTTGGTCTGGGTTCTCCAGCAGAGCCATTGTCCCCTTTCGGCCCAATGGGGCCAGCTGGTCTTGGCCTCCCTGCTTGTCCTGCAGGTTCTGGTGAATCTGTGACATAGAAGAGATGGACATAAGGCTGACCCCAGCCCAGGAGGAGCCAGCTGCCTGCAGGGTCCGGGCCCTGGCATTCTTTCAGGGTTCTGTAGGGTGTAGACACTCCCCCTTCAGGTCCAGTGGTGATACGGGATTGCATGTCCACATCTCCATTTTACAGGTGAAGGAACAGGCTTGCAGAGTTGGAGGCAGATCCAAACCTAAGCCCACCTGAATTTACATACAATACACGTGCCCCTTCCCCAAGGCCATGGTATTTATGGCAGTTAAGTCTGTCAGCTTTTACCCTTGACTATGGACTCCCTGCCCTCCCCCTTCCCAGAACCAAGTTTCTGTCAGAAATGACACCTGACACTTACCACCAGAGAAATAGAAATCAAAACATAATGAGCTGTCACCTCACACCTGTCAGAATGGCTATTATCAGACAGCAAATAAGAAGTGTTGGGGAATGTGGAGAAAAGGGAAACTGTGCAGTAGGGATGTACTTTGGTACAGCCACTATGGAGAACAGTATGGAGGTTTCTCAGAAAGTTAAAACTAGAGCTACCATATAATCCATCAATTCCACTTCTGAGTAATTAACTAAAGAAAATGAAAACATAACCTGAAAAGATATATGTACCCCCAAGTTAATTGCAGCATCATTTATGGTAGCCTAGACATGGATGCAGCTTAGAGCCCAAGTATCTGTGGATGGATGAACAGATGTAGAAAATGCAGGGTGCATATTCAGTGGACAATTATTCAGGCATTATTCAAGGCAACATTGGTAAATCTTGAAGACACTATGCTTAGTGGAATAAATCACAGAGAAGGGTGGTGCTATACTATCTCACTTATATGTGAAATCTAAAAAAACAAATGAACAAAAACAGCATAATCACAGATACAGAGAACACATATGTGGTTGCTAGGGGTGGGGTTGGGAAGTGAGAAGAATAGATAGAAATCATCAAAAGATTCAAGTGTCCAGTTAAAAAAACAATTGAGTCCCAGGAACACAATGTACAGCAAAGTTACTACAGTTAGTAATCCTGGGTTGCATGCTTGAACATATTTGAGCAAGCAGATCCTAAAAGTTCTCATCACACATGAATCGTTAACTATGTGTGTTGATGACTTATTGTGAAAATCATTTCACAATATTTGCAAATATGAATTCATTATGATGTACATCTTATTATAATATATTATACATCAATTCTATTTTAATATAAGAAGAGAAAAATCAATGTAACATGCTTTTAAAATTATAGAAGATAGATGAAATTAGTGTGCATTATTAAGTGATTAAGTTATAAACACTCTATTTACTATGATTTGGTTTCTTCAACATGTCCATGCATGTGTCAGGCATGTGCACATGTAACATACATTGAAAAAACCACAAGAAGAGCATATACAAGTGTTAACAGTTTTTCTTTCTAAGGGGCACAATTTGGGAATTTTAATTTTCATCTCTTTGTGATTAGTGACCACAAACTAATTTGCTTTGGAAAAATGACCAGACATTTTAAAAAATCACATTACCTTAAGAAGACTGCCTAAGTCTGAAATACAAGAAGTTTGCTTTCAAAGACTAAAGGGAGAAATGCCTATTGATTCAAGAATTATACACTCAATTCTGTGAGTTTGATTATTCTTTTTTCATTGAGATGAAATTCACATAGTATAAAAATAACCGTTTTGTTTGTTTGTTTGTTTGTTTGTTTTTACTGTGATGTGTAGCTTTCAGGATCTCAGTTCCCCAATCAGGGATTGAACCTGAGGACTGACAGTAAGAACACCAAATCCTAACCACTGGACCTCCAGGAATTTCCTATAATTAATCACTTAAAGTATACAATTCAGCGGCATTTAAAACGTTGACATAATTGTACAACTACCACTTCTCTTTAGTTCAAGACTATTTCATTAATCCCAAAGAAAACCTCATACCCATTTATCACTACATCCCTGCCTTCTCCCAGGCCCTGGCTATCTCTAGGCAACTCCCTGTCTCTATTACCTATTCCATATATTTTATATAAATACATATGATATATGACCCTTTGTGTCTGCCTTTTTAAACTAGGAGTGACATTCTTGAGGATCATCCAATTTGTAGCACATCTCAGTACGTCATTCCTTTCTATGGCTGAGAAACGTTCTATAGTATGAATACAATACATTTTCTTTATTCATTCACTGTGGATAAATGCTGATAGACACTTGGGTTGTTTCTATCTTTTGACTGTTGTGAGTAAAGCATTCATGTGCAAAAAGACAACAAAAGGAATCTACAGTTACTACTAATTTGTGCATTCACTTATTTATTCATTTCCTCATTATTTCATTTCTCTGTTCACTGAGAAACTATCTATGGAACATAGCTTTCTGCCTAGCACTGAGCAGGATGTAAATGTTAGCACCAGGTCCTGGTCTGCAAGGCATCTGTCACTGAATTCTAAACTATGAGGCACAGGTAATGAGTGAAGAAAACAGCCTATGAGATGTCCCTCATCCCATCCCAGCACCCACAACCCATGGACACACACATACTCATAGGAAACAGGACTTCAGGGCTGAAGAGGATTCAGAGACCTGGAGAGGAGTGGTGATATTTCAGATCTGGAAACCATTCCCCCAGAGTAAGAAGGGCCAGGCTTGCCTGGGCCAAGAATGTGCAGGTGGTGGGAGACTGGTATATTTGATGGGTGGTGACATTGTGTCCTGCTCTTAGTTCCAATCCTCACTAGGCAAGCAATGGGAGCCTGGAGGATGGGCTCCACATCCCAGACCCCCTGGTGCACTGTGCTCAGGCAGAGACACCTGGTCCTTGACTGAGCCTCTCCTGGGCTCCTACCAGGCTGGGGAGGGCAGCAGGTACCTTGGAAGCAAGTCACTCCTTAGGAGGGAGCATTAGAGGTTGCCCATCCTTTGCCAAACCATGGAATCCATGAGACCAGGGAGGTAGAAGAAGGGATACTTTTCAATTCAGGGCCCCTCAGGGAGCTAGAGAGAGCTGGCACCTTGAATATCACCCCTCATCTGAGACTACTTCTAGGCTGCCTTCTCAAGCCCCAGGCCATTCATGTTAGGAGCTACTTTCTTTGTAAAAGACAGATACGATACTTGTCTCTTAACCTGAAAATGCTGGGAATGTTACATATTCTTTTCAGCTTTAATGTTGTTCATTTCTTTCCTCTCCAATCAAAAGACAAAACTCCAGAAAGATAAAAGACCTCAGTTGATCCCTCCATAGCCCTGGCCTGGGGCCATGGTGGTCCCCTCGTCCTTGTCACTTGTTCATCGAATTCTCACTTCTTGCCAGTATCACCCAGATTTTTCCTGTGTCTCAGTGTTTCCAGACAATTCCCTTAATAATCAGTACATTTGGAAACCACAGGAGAATTTGCTGGTTGGTACAGCAGAGGATATAACTTTATCTCGAAGACCCAACAAAGAAATAAATCCTTGGCTCAATTCTTTGTCGCTGTGTGGTCAATAATGTTCCCATCTACACATGATTAAACTGAAACTTACAACACTGTCATCAGTTCAAAAATATTTAACATTCTGCAGAGGCAACATTTAATAAGAATGAACAACAGTTAAGTTTTGGAGGGTATATGCTCAGTAGCATCTGATTCTTTGTGACTCTGAGGATTGTAGCCTGAAGGATTCCTCTGTCCATTGAAATTCTCCAGGCAAAAATGGGATGAGTTGCCATTTCCTATCGAGGGCATCATCCCAATCGTGGGATCAAACCTATGTTTCCTATGTCTCCTACATGTATGTACGAAGTCGCTTCAGTTGTGTCCACCCCAATGGACCAAAGCCGGCCAGGCTCCTCCGTCCATGGGATTCTCCAAGTGAGAATACTGGAGTGGGTTGCTATGCCCTCCTCCAGAGGATCTTCCTGACCCAGGGATCAAACCTGCATTTCCTAAGTCCCCTGCATTGGCAGGCAGATTCTTTACCACTAGCACCACCTGGGAAGCCCAATGAGTTCTGGAGCAAGGAACTCCAAATACCAGTCATTCACTCACTGTTTGTACATTCTTGAGGTGGTTAGAGTCCAAAGATCCTAGGGGAGGAATCAGGACCGGTGGTTATGGAGCTGGGGACTTGGGCAGGCCAGTCTTTGCCAACCAGTAAAGCCATGTTTAGAGGGGGTTAAAATCTGGGGGAAACTTCCCCTCTTGGAAAGACCATCTGCAAGGTTTCCACAGCAGAAGATTCAGAGTTTTGGGGTTGGTTACAATTCCAGTGCCCACCCATTCCCATGAGGGCAAGCCCATGGTCCCAGCTCTACCTGGATCTCCCTTCTCCCTGCGGGGGTCTTCTCTCCCATCTTGTCCATCACGACCAGGCAAGCCACCCTCCGGGGGGCTACATGCAACCAGGTTACAGCCATTGGCCAGTGTTTTCTGGGAGTAGATCTTCATTTCTGCTCCCAGGGATCTCCAGGGCTGTGTGAGCAGGAGCAGCACAGAGAGTGGGAGGAGAAGCATGTCCTAGGCAGAGGAACAGAAAGAGGGGGTGCTCTTGGTCCAAGGATGAGGACTAGGGCTGGCCCAGCTCCTGGAGGTCAGGAGAAGCCCTTCCCCCAACTTCTCTCCCATCCTCTGGGGCCAAGAGTAGTAGGGCTCCAAAAGCAGTTTAGGGAAAGTTAGGATAAGGTCTGGCTAGGGACAACATTTGGAGAAGGCATTGGCAGCCCACTCCAGTACTCTTGCCTGGAAAATCCCATGGACGGAGGAGCCTGGTGGGCTGCGGTCCATGGGGTCGCCAGAGTCGGACACGACTGAGTGACCTCACTTTCGCTTTTCACTTTGATGCATTGGAGAAGGAAACAGCAACCCATTCCAGTGTTCTTGCCTGGAGAATCCCAGGGGCGGGGGAGCCTAGTGGGCTGCCGTCTATGGGGTCGCACAGAGTTGGACATGACTGACGAGACTTAACAGCAGCAGGGAGGACATGAGAGGACCAGCTGGACCTCTGAGTCGGTCTGCCAGCAGCATGAATCTACTCTCAGATGCTCTGTGTCATCTTTTTGGGGCTATTCACACTTGCCAGGGGCACTGTGGCCAGGATGCAGAATTCCTCACTGAGGCCATTGTCACACCAGGAGGGACTCACTGAGGGCCCTCAGGTGGGACCCACCCCCTCTCTGATCTCCTTCCTTTCTGTACCAGAAAGTCGGTTGCTTTACCTCTTACAAGGCTGGCTTGTTTCCAGTCACTTGCTGCTCTGGACAGACTACTACTGGAGTCTGCAGTGCTATCTGAAAAAAAAAGCCAGAGTCTAATGCCTGGTAAGTTCTGTCCTAAGCACAAAATCGTGCGTGATTGCTTGTTTGCCAGATTTGTCATTCCTGGGCTCCACCAGGAAAGTTCCTGGCACACCTAAAGTCCTGCCCAGACCTCCTAAGCAGACCTGGACAGGGGCCTCATGGAAGAGGGGACGTTAGAGACGGGTGCCATCAGGGGGAGGCTGGCTTCAGAGGAGGAAAGCTGATGTCCAGTAGAGCTTCTGGCAACCATCAGAAAGGGACTCAGGAGCTAAGTGAGATCACGGTGGGCGCAGGATGTGGGTCACTGCCAAGGGGCTTCTTTCCTTTCTCAGAGAGAAACTGTAAAGTTTCTAGCATGGAAAAGAATCATGGTTGCAGAGACCTGGAAGAAAGCCCAAGGCACCTGTGCAGAGGACTGAAGTTTGCCAAGCAGGCTGATGGGAGGGAAAAAGTTTGCTGACCAGAGAAGTGCCTCCTTCCAAGAGGATGATGAATTGCATTTACCCTGGGGACTTCCAGACAATGACATCAGAGATCTGGTTGGATCCCATACCCAACTCTCCCCCTCTCCCTTTCCTGGAAGCACATCTCCCACCAAACAAAGGGAGCAGAATGAAGAGCGCCCCTTATTGCCTCACTTGTTCCCATCACCAGCACTGACCCTCCTAGACTGGAAGATCTACACACACCCTGTCTTCTTCAACACCCACATAGGCAGGGAGATTATCACCAGACATTGGAAAACAAATTAAGAGGCAAGAACAGAGACACTCACAGTTGCTTCCTGTAAGGGTCCAGAACGTCCAGTCAAGTTAGAGTTCGTGGGTGAGAACTGGCTCTTTATACCTTTCCTATAATGTGACCCTCAGCCCCAGTTTCCTGAGAATTCTCTTCAGGAAGTAGGGTAATTTCCTTATTATTGACTCTCTCAATTATGCCCCTACCCAAATCCAGTGTCCATCTGGCTTCTGAACAGCTGCCACTGATATTGATAGGACTAAACACACATTAGAGTTCAAAGCACATCCTCAGCCCAGGATCTCATGGGTACCCCGCTGCAGCCTTGTAAGTAAAATGGCAGCATCAGGGTCTGTATTTCATGATGTCCAGGGATCCAAGGTCCAGAGAAGACCAGCAAGTTGCACAATGACCTAGAGCTGTTGCAAAAGCAGCCTGACTCTGCAGAGCCCAAGAAACAGCACCTGCTGTGCCCACTTCTCCCTCCTCATCTCAACATTTCTCCTCAGACACTAGGAAAGAGCTGGGAGCTGCTTGGCCAATCTGAGCAGAAGTGGGGCAGGTGAAGGGCTGCTGAGGCAATAGCCTGTGGGAGACCATGTCTGTGGGAGCTGCCTTCTGGCAGGGGTCACTCTTTTGCTTTCTGCTGTAGCTCTAGGACAACTCTCCACTTGCCTCAAGATGGCTTCCTATGCTCTCTGTTCATCCCCTGCCCAACCCTCCTTCACTCACATGACTACCCAATTCTCTTCATTACAGGGCTTACTGGTAACTGCCTACATGCTTGCTGCCCCAGACACTGGTTTCCCTGGTATATGATGAACAAACTGATGTCCACTCCCTGTTAGATTGGTGGGCTCCTCCCTCAAGCTGTGAAGATTGCCTCCATGTCCTTCCTGCTCTCTGCTGAACATGGTATGCTGTTGCGCTAAGACCCTTCTTTTCTGGACACATAGATCCCTTATCTAATAAGTAATGGATGTCTTTGTCCCTGTCTCCCAGCTCTTGCTTTGGTCTCAAGGCTGGGCTGCAACAAGCATGCACACCTGCAGGGTGCAGCCCAACAACTGGTGAGTCAGCCAGAAGGCTGCAGGTAATCCCGTGAGTGCCGAGATGTTGGAGAATGAGGACAGGGAAGGGAAAGTTGTGGGGATAATTGCAGGGTGGCCATCCCCTAGCATGTGGGTTCCTGTGAGAGAGATCTTTATCGTCCATTAAGCTGATGACATCCTGCTAACCTCAGAGGCTCTTCCCAGTTTAAAAGTAGCAGCCTGGGCTTCTGCTTCACCTGACTGCCTGGGGAGGTCTTGTGATACTGGCAAACATAAGAGCCTTTCTGGTTTTATTGTTTTCTACAAAATACAAGCGTACCCCTGACCCACCACCCCTAAACAAGTACAGGCTTTAGGGACACTAACTGGGACAGGCTTGTGAATTGGCCATGGTCGGTTACCCTGAAGGGTTTGTTTCGAACCTGTGGCAATGGTGAAATAAAATGAGTACATTCTCAGCTTCTGGTCCCAAGTGTGGGAGGAGGCAGAGCAGGGATATAGTGTCAAGGAACAAAGCTCTATGCAGCCTACATGCTTTACAACAGGTGGAAGCTGTTACAGTGCACCTACTCAAGTTGCTGAGCAATGTAAAAAAACACCACTTTAGGGGCCATGAAGTTCAGGAATGTGCTTATAAAAATGCCATACCCTGGCATTTCTACCTGTCCTACAGCCGTACTGCTGCCGGGCTGAATAGAAGGATGAGTGAACTAAGTAAGGAAAAACTGATACAGGAAACCTGCTGTCTCAACCTGTGAACCAAGAGGCTAGCTTAAGTCACAGAACTTGTCATTAAATATTCTGGGAGCAGTCACCCCAGGATCCACCTACATCATGTTAACCCAGAGCAAACTACTCAACATCATCAGAGTTCAACTGTTCACCACCCAAGTATCATTGTCAGCTAGCGATGAGGAGAATAACTTACCTTTGCCCTTGCCACAGGATCTATCCCCAAGGGAACATGCTGTAAATGGCCCTGGGATTAAAACTGTTATGGAAGTCCCAGGTGATTTGGGTTTGCAGCCCTGTGGGGATTAGGAATAAGGGACTTAAAGATTTCATCTAGGCCCACCTGAGAAGACTAAGAAATTAACCTAGGGCCCCTACGAGAAAAAGGCACCATTATATTAACCTTGTGTTTTGTTATACCCCTCCAGTGTTTGACACTGGATGAAGTGGACTGAGGTTAGACAGTGTAATGGTACTGCAGTCAGGACAAAAATTGTAGTCAGGGGTGTTATTATGTCAGAATGCTGGGACTGCTTGTATTTTGCTTCATGGTCATGATCTTCCCTGCATTGAGTCTGTTAGACATCTTACATTTCATGTCTAGTCTAAATGGTAATGAACCTATTTGCAGACAGGGCAACAATGGTGACCTCACTCCAGAATGAATCTGATGGTGGGTCTACAGTGATAAGCTGTTGTTGTCCTCAGGAATTCCATGAAAAATTGACCTGATAAATACCTGTCTCCAAAGACTGCCTACTCTTCCGACTCTGAGTATTCACAGTTGTGGTTGTCTGTATTGCATTTGTGGTATCTGACTGTGGTGCACCTTTATACACCTGAGGCCAGGAATAATGTGGAAGAGGGGTGGACATAGATAGTAAGGGTCATCGGTTATACAGGTTATGTAGGGATGGAGTGTATGGTCAGCCCATTTTAGATGGCTGTTTTCTTGCTCTTTCTAGGCATGAAGGACTGTGAGGTCCAGCTCAACAGCAGTGGGTAGGTTGCTTTGGTTTTGGTCTTTGGGAACTGTCGGGGAGGTCTGGCATTGGGGCCTTCTGCCAGAGCATTCACAGACTCCCTTCTGCTCTGTTCTGGGTGCTGAGCTCTTTACTTCTAAAACCATAACACGGGCAGGAAAAAGGGGACATGGACATTAGAAGAAGTAAGACTCCAGCTCTGTATCCCCCCTGACCTGTCAGGCAGAGGGCAATGTCTCTGAGGTCAAACTTTGGTGGTTTTTTTGTACCTTTCATTTGATCATTGTATACTAGATGGAAATTCAGAGCAACTGTCCACACCTGGATAGGAGTGGCTTATCCATTTGTTGGCTAGAATGGAGGGCTCTTCATGTTCTATTGCCTTTATTGTCCTTTCATTTCCTTAAAGTTGACCTCTTAGTATCTCCCATGTTTTGACTCCTAGGTCAAGTAATTATCTGCCTTCCCTTCACTACCCAGAGTACTCGAGTCCTCAGGTATAAAGGCATTTCTTAAAACCTTTCCCTCTCTGCTAAGAGCTGGGATTGAAATGAAAAATCACCTTCTGTGGCTCAGATGCCTTTCTTGATTTAGGCATGGGTTGAAATTCATGGCTTCAGTTCATGTGCCCACTTACATGACTATAAGCTCATCTCTTATGGACAGATGTTCAGACATAAGCAGCCACCAAGTCCAGATGAAAAGCACCTGAG